ACGGCCCCGGGAAAACGAGGGGGAACAACGGGGGGCGCTGGGCCCGGGGGGAGCGGGAGAAGGGACGGAGGAGGAGGAGGAGGAGGAGAAACGGGAAAGAGGAAGGAGGGAGGAAGAGGAGCAGCCGGAAAGGATGAGCCGGAGGATGAGGAGGAGCAGGAGCAGGAGGAGGAGGAGGAGGAGGAGGAGGAAGAGGAGCAGCCCCGGAACCCCGCGCTTCCCCAGCCCCCCCATAGCAGCCGCAGCCCCCCGGCCCCGGCAGCATCGCCCCCTCCCCAAATCCCGCAGCCAGCGGGGAGGGGGAGCTCGCCCCAAATCCCTCGGGGGGTCCCCGGGCCGGGATTTTCCCTTGGGGGGGTTCGCAGCTCGCAGATTCCGGGAGAGAGCCCCAAAATCTCTGGGGGTCACCGGGAGGGTTGCAGGGGTGGGGGGGGGATGCTCGGAGCCTGAGGGACCCCAGAGCTGAATTTGGGCTGAATCCTGGTGGTTTGGGGTTTTTATGGACACAAAACCCGCGGAGAGCTCCAGAGCTCGACCTGGACTGGAGGAACTTTAAGCCAGTGGCGCACAGTACTACTTAATAATATTTTAATAATCTTTAAAACTATATTTAATACGTTTAAATAATAATACAATTTAAATTTTAGAAAAACATACTCTTCTATTGCAGTATGTATAATTTTAGTATTATTATATATTATTAGTATAAAATTCAATTAATTATTTCTAATACAAAGATGTTATATAAAAATGCCATTGTAATCTAATTTATATAATTTTACAATCATTCCATTAAGAATTTAAGCTTTTCTTGACCGCTAGTTCGGCAAATTTTGTTCCAAATGTGGAGGGGGACAAAGGGATCGGATCAGGAAATTCTGTCCGATCGCAGCGCCCCAAAAATTGGGGTGAAACGCGCAAAGAACGGCTCTGATTGGCTGTCCCGGCACATCCCGCCCCCCATCCCCGCCCCCGCCCCAAGGCTCCCCCTGCCCAAAAACCCACCCGGGGCTGCGGCGGCCCGAAACCCCTCAGCCAATCAGAGCGCGGGCAGGACGCGCCGCAGCCAATGGGAGCGCGGGGCGTTCATTGCCTCACCGGTTGCCGGGTAGAGCCTTCGAAAAGCGAGCGCCCTGAGAAATTCCAGCCAATCAGAGCGGGAGTTGTTGATGAGTCATCGGTTGCTGGGCAGAGCGTCTGAAAATCGGGCTGCGAACGGAACCGGCCAATCGGAGCGGGCGAAAAACTCCTCGGTGCGTTACAAAGGACCCAAAAAACGGCGCAGCCAATCAACGCTCAGCCAAAAACCACGCCCCACCAATCAGGGAGCGCGCCCCTAAAGCTGCGGGGCCGGTGGTCCCGGCGCGGCGCTGGCCATGGGGCTCGGGGCGGCAGCCGGGGCCGTGCTGGTGGCACTGGTGGCGCTGGGAGCCGCCCCGGCTGCGGG